AAGCAAGGCAATAAGAGATACAAAATTTATCTTTTGATGACACCAAATGCCCACGTTTTCCTACAGGAGGCAAAGGAGGCAGCCAGGCACTCTTGCACTGACCTCCTTCATAGCAGTCAATTCTGTATTTCTCTCTTATGCCTCCTTGAATCAGCTCTCCTTTCATAGGGAATTGTCCTCGTCTCTCTTCTCTGCCCCACACACCCCACTTCCCTTCCTTGATACCTCAGATTGTTTCTATTATCTTTCACTGTATAATTTCTGACCCTGGTTTGGGTAAGAGGGAGCAGCACACAGCCTCTGTGTGCACCTGTAGCACTACCATCATTTTGGTATCATTCTCAAATCTCTTCTTCATGAAGTCTGTCATTCAATTTGCTTTAACTACCTACTCCGTATTGAGCAATTGCCTGCCTGTGCCACATAGTCCAGAATGAAAGCCAGCTCTCCTTCCTGAGAAGCAATGATGTAGAGCCAGTCAATGTGTGCAGTTCCTACAAGGTGCACTACTTTGGACTTGTCTCTGCTGATCCTAATCTGACACTGTGTTATCCTGTTCCTTAGTTTGGATAGGTCTTTGCAGGCAACCACCAAACTTCTTTCGTCTTAGCTAAGGTAAACACTTTCCTGATAAAGAAGACCTGTGAGACAGATTGTAGTCAGTGTGGAGTACAACGTACAAGATCTTAACAACCAAAAGATTACCTTGGTACAATCTTAGAATGCATGGTAGCTACCAGTGTTCCAGTGTGGGGCTGAAAGGCTGGCACAGCCTCATCCGTGTACATGCCTCCATTCTGTCTGTGGTTTAAACTGACCAAGTCAGTCATTACAACCAAACCTGTTTCCTAGACAAAAAAGACCCCAACAATAATCATTCAGCATGTTCCCAGGAGGACTTTCCTGATGGCCTCAGCTTCAAAGCACTTATAGAGGAAAAACTTGTTTGAACCTTATGGGATTGCTTAAGTTCTACGGAAAAAAATAGTTGGCAACATAAAAAATATTTGAGCATTTTAGAAGCGGGAACTCTGCAGTTAATTCTGGGACTTTTTGGGAAATTCCTTTTCCCAACATCTAACACAAGTGGGCATGTTCATAATTTTCAGGTAATTGCAGGTGGACAGTTAAGCAGAAATAGGTTTTAAAAAATCCCATACTGTTCCTAGAAAGTTAGATCGCTGGTTCTAACTCAAGTTTATCCTTCCGTAAAAAAAAGTTACTAGCATGTGCACTCTCTCTCCCATCGTGGCAATTACCAGCAGGCAGTTACCTTGAATAAGATATCCAATTTCTTTAGGGACTCCAGAAATAATTGCAGCTTTAAACAGTCTTATAATAATAATTTTAAAAAGATATTAAGGGACAAGAAAAGTTTCTGCTGGCTCTGGCTACTTCATTGCATTTATATTTATGATACATATGAGTGCGATCCTGATGTTGAGGCCTGAGGCATCTCCCACAGCTCTGCTCATCCACCAAAGGAAATACGTACTTTATTATAATTTAGATTCACATTTGTTAATTATTAGATATCATCCACATACTGCTACACACATTCATAGTGATTTCTCACCAAGGCTACAGACCCTGCCTCAAGAACGTACACCCTGGAGAGAAAGAACAACATCACAGAGAAAATGGGAGGAGGAAGGGCTCCTGCAGAAATGGATTTCAGAAGAAATGTGGGAAGAATTGGTGGGGAAAAGGTGAAAAAACATTGGTAAATGGGGCACAAGGATGCAGAGGGTGAAGGCAACCTGAAAGAAGCACACACACAAGTAAACAGAAAGAATTAAAGGGAGCAGTACACCAAGAGGGCAGTGAGAAGCATAGCATAGACAGAACTAAGGAATTAAAAAAAGAGACCTAGGCAGAGATCAGATTATGTATCACCATGATGTGGAGGACAAAGAGACAGGAAACCAGAAAAGGACAGAGTAAGTGGCCTCTCCTAGAGCAGCAGGAGAAGAAGGGAACAAGCTAACTTAGAAAATGTACCTGTTAAAGAGGTCTAGGTATATCACATTTGGTGCAAAAAAAGAGCAGAGAAAACATGAAGCAAATGGAACTGTGTTAACAGGTAAAAAAAAAATCTAAGGGATTAATTGTCAATTTATTAAAAAATTGCAATGCTGGCGATCCACACATAGTAACAACAGGCCAGTGCATGAGAACAAGAATCAAGAGAAGCTGGATAGTTTGTTTTCAAAGTCAAAGCTGAGAAAACTGTACACAGTCAAGAAAGACAAAAGAAATTTTAGTTTTCTAAATTTGTTCTGGTTTAATAATTAAAGAAAACCCAGTTAACAGAATTATTTAAATGTGCTAACCTTAAGTAATAATACAAACAGAGATTAGAAGAGAATGTAACTGACCTCCAAACAGATGGAGCTAACAGCTGCCAGCAAAGGGACCAGGGGAGCGAGTTTAAAGGATTTTCAAGGGCTGTTCTAATAGAGTAAACTCATATTTTTTTCCACAGCTATTCAAGGCTCCAGGGAAAGCCCCATGTTCAAATCCATTTCCACCCTCTTTGCTTTTCCCTTGAAGACCATTGCAGACTAAGCCTTCATGGCCTCACCCGGCAATAGAAAAATTTGTTGGGCACTTGCCTGATTTTTGGGAGAGCCGGTTTGGATTTTTTTAGTCAATTTGAGTTCTGGCCTTCCCCTTGGTGCTGACTAGGGTCAGAGTACATTTGTTTAAAGTACTCAAGGGAGTATAGCACTCTTTTTGCAGAACCTTCTATTTTGAGAAATCAGCTCCCAGGCTATCGTAATGATGAGACAAACCTCTTCCTCCCATGTGAAACATAAGTCCCACAAAACTCCAAGAAAAAGTCAAATTTCTCACTGATCACTTGGGAATAAAAGCTGAATGAACTTCAGACATCTCCTAGAGCAGAGAACGCTGACTTTGTATGCACAGTACATCCAGCAGTGAAGCAGCTTGCAAAGTTTGTATGATCTCTTGAGTAGTTTACATCAAGATCTCACATTCTGCTCCTGTTCCCTGTCCAGATGCAGGTAGTATTAATCCAAACTTACTTTGGTCTCTTCTTGTTCCTTAGCAGGTAAAGTAGAACAGTAAGGCTTATTTTAAGAGTGTCTCATTTCATTACAGCAAGAGGCATGCAAACTTCTTGTCAGTGTCAACAAGGAGAGGCATTATATTATCACCTCAAGTCAGTAGGACGCAACAGATTTCATGCAGATTAGTGGTTCTCATGAGCAAATTCATCTTAAAAGGCTGTATTAAAAGAATCTTCAAACCTTTTCTAATTCAAGCAGTCCCTGAAAATGTTCCCTAGAAGTACTCCTCCTACAAAGCAGGAGCTTCTGCTAATTATTTCTGATCTTCCACTCTTCCCCTAAGCATGCACATAGCACTGAATTGCTGAACTTCTCATGGACCAGACTCTTCAAAAAGCTCAGCACTTACAGCTTTGTTGTGACAGTTATGGCCCTAACAGAACACACTGCACTTTCTGAGAATCTGGACTAAGGTGTTAAAACAGTGGTTGTTTAGCAATGTGAATGCATCACACAGACACTTGACAGAGAAGCTAGACTGGGACAAGAGTCCTTCTCACCGTAAATGCAAAGCGGGCATCTTTGGTGATATCCCAATGCCAGGGGAAGACAGAGGAGCGACGGCGCCTGCGTGAAGACATGCCTGGCCACCAGAAGTGCCCTTCCTCCTTGGGAGTCCCAAAGGCATCTGACACATCATACTCTGCAAGCTCCTGGAAAACCTGTGCAGAGAAGGCAGATATTGCTGTCCCTTCCCCAAAGCCAAAGATGTTTTTCTGCAGATCCCTCTTCAGGCAGAGGACAGGTGATTATGCTACAGGGAGAAAGGAGACACTGGTACCTTGCACCTCCTCTCACCTGAGTAGAGGTCAGCTGAAAACCTGTCTTAAGAAGGTAGACGCTCTTATCCACGGTTGCAATGCAGACACAACTTCCTGTCGCAGCTTTAACTTTGATGTGCACAACATCACCAGGCCTGGTCTCATTTGTTGAAAGTGCCACCGAAACCTGGATAGTTGGAAAAGAAACAAACCCATCACCTGGCATAATGTTTAGAGTGTAAAACCACAAAGAGAAATAAGGGAGGCCAACTGTTCCTTTACACTGGCAGTGTTGCCGATACCTGGTTTTCAAAGGAGGACTTGACAGCAAACTGAAGACTGTCTGTGACCCCTTCTCCATTTTCCCTGACGTAATATACCAGTAGACGGCCCAGAGGAGCCATGTTATGAGCTACTGAGAAATGGAGGAAGGTCATGCAGACTTCAACCTCTGCTGTAGGGGGGGTGGTAGGTGCTAGAAGACAAATTATACAAAGAACAAAGTCACTTGTCAAAATCAGTCTCCCCCTACCCTATCCCAAAAGGTTACCAGGCCCAGTAGCCCACTCCCCACCCAGTCTTCTGGCAGTGCTTCCAAGCTCAACATCTTCTCCTCCTATCTGCCTTGCACACCATGCAGTTATCAAGACGCCTATTCTCCATCCCCACCCATACATAAACTATCAGACCCAGTATCTTTCCTTCAGCCTGTGGACATGGAACAAGGTCCCACATGATCCCCTCAAACCTGCACAATAAGACTCACCTCCTTTCCCTCCTCAACCTGCACACATTAGCAGAACAACCCACACCTTCTTCCCAACTTACACTCACACTCAGTCAGATCCAGCATGTTCCCCATACTTCTAAATGATATCAAAATCAGCATCCCCCACCATGCCACCTCAATGGTCATCAAGCCCAGGGCTTCCCAAACTCTAAAACATGGTGGGGAGGAGAAGATATATCATTTGGAAGAGAACTTTAGAAAAATCAAAGTTTTCATAAAATAGTTACTCCTTCCCTGCAAGGAGACTCTGTGCCCTTACAGAAGGGTATCAGATACATCAAGGAACATCTCAAAACTTCAGCAAGAAGGTTTGTTCCAATCAAGGAGGTAATCGTCACCGGATGAGAACAGTTACCACTTCTGTTGCTAGCTACTAACCTGTTCCTGGGACATGAGTGACATGGATGCTCTTATCAAAGGTGGCTCTTTTGCTCCTTTGCTGGGAGAAGTTACTAGGCTGCAGCCCTGAAAGGACAATGTTACCTCGCGATGCCACTTCATAATGTAGAGTGAAATTACATGGACATGTAGACTTCACTCCAATCCGGGCCTCCTCTCCCACCTGTACAAACAGATGCAGCAGCCAGGAGTCAGGTTCATCAAAATATAAAGTTTCAGGCCCTTATTACTTATAAGGCACTGAAATGCACTCTGGAAAGAACAGAACGCATAAAACAAGGTTGTTCTCAACAGGAGCTCAGAAGGAGATAAAGAAGCCATTACATTTGCACTAATCAGTTTGATGTAGCTCCCCACAAGACAAGAGAGGCCTGTGAGAAGCACTTGGTTTCCTGCAAGTTGAACAGGAGGACAGGATGGGCTGGGAGGGCCAAATGGATTAGTGAAAGCAATAAAAGAATCTCTGGAATCCTGAGGGTTAAGCCCTTTGCTGTAAAGCAGCTGTCAGAGTGGGTTGAATTTGAGGACACCCCATTATTATGTTCAGATCTCTAACTGGAGAGCATGGCAGGGGAAGGGCTCACACAAGCTTTGCTGTTTAACTGAGATTACATGTGGTGGCTATTGTAATTTGCAGGAACTAATTAATACATAATCAACCCAGTCCAAAATAATCAGGAAAACCTGAACCAGGAAGAAAACTTTCAAATTACATGGGCCTCAGCGTTTGTTTACAAAACTGCCTCTCAACGGGCCACAGAGACAGGCATGAGAACCGCTTCCCTTCTGCATTGTTCCACAATGTCATTATTGGGATGGTAGATTTCCCCTTTCATAGCACTATGAAGCAGCTCCATGTGCTCTCTTCCTTGCCCATTTGAAGTATAACAGGTCCAATTACTGCTGAAAGCAGAGTAAGAATTCTGAATCCCTATGAAGTGGAGAATCTTCATTCCTACCATGCACGCATGGTGCAAGCCAAAATGATGGCACAGGGAAACAAGAACCCACCAAATGGTTAAACACAGCGAGAGTGCAGAAGAGTCTGAAAAAGTGCCTCATGATGTTAAATATTCAAGGCATTAAGAATGCCTTAGAGCCAAGTGATGAAACTGTTCATAAAAAAATGAAGCTAATTGGAACACCCAGTAAGAGCTGGGGAAATGGTTCCCACATCAGCTGGACACCCAACTCCCAGCTTTCCCACAGCAGAATTAGTGCTAATCAGGTTATAATAAGAACAATATGTTCAGATTAGTGGTGTTTAATCCCCTTTCCATACCTCAGAAACCTTGTAAAAGATTAATTAGTCATTAAACTGCCATGAAACACAATGAAAAAAACCCTCATTTGGCAATGCCGACCTTAAACCTCTGCCTATCATACCTGCTGATAATGTAATAGTAAGTTAGTTATAGGCAGCACCAAAACCCAAAATGGATTATAAAGCACATCTCACATCCCCTCTAGGATGGAGAACAGTAACTCAGTACAACAAGAAGGGTGGGAAATTCTGGCCAAGAAAGTCATGAAAACTTTTGCCTACAGCAGAAGAGAGAGTACCCTTCTCCAAAAGAAAAATACGGCAGGCCCAGTCTGTTTACCTCTGAGACCCAAATAATAAACTGATCCTACAGGGATTTGAACTAGTAGTTCCAAAGAGACTAGATCATTCCAATCCGGGCTTCAAGATGATTTAGTTAACCACTATCACTGGACTTCAAAACAGTCAGCATTTGATTGAACCAATATCTTAATAGCATTTAGACACTCTTATTATCCAGTTAAAATGGCATATATATAAATGGGAAAAGGGGGAAAAGGACTTGTTTATGATCTGTGCTATTGAATCTAATAAGGTCTCTACTGGAGAGCCAACTCTAAACTACAGAGAGGATGGGACATGCCCAGCATTAGGGAGGGCATTCAGCACTAAAGGTTACACGTGCTCTGGGGTGAGGGGCAGATGCTTTAATTGAAGCAGCTCTCAGGAGCTGCTCTAATTAAAGTGCCCGCAGCATCTCATGTATTCAGTGTCCCACACTTCAAAATGGTAGTAGAGACACTTTAACTAAAGCTCATTTGACTAGAGTGCATTCTAATTAGAATGTGTCAGAGCAGGCATCGGGCCCTAAGGTGTTTCATGGTTCATATCTAGGGACAATTCAAACACAAACTAAGCTTTTATCCATATGTGAAATGGATACAATCATAGGCCACAGGCCCAAAATATGGAGACGAATCAAAATATTTCATCAGAACAACAGGCATCACCATAATGAAACATGTAGCCACCTTACCTGGAAAGGTTTATTTGGTGCTTGGAGCTGGATGTGGCACTTACTAGGTGAGTACCAGCTGCTTATAGACAAGTAGTTTGGCAGATACTGATCCCCTGCTGGTCTTCCATCAATTGCTGTCACTTTAGTCTTAAAGAAAGATGCATCTGAACGTTATTCACAGGTAGAAAACTGGGCTTCTGTCCCTCACACCTCCTTGCCTCCACCCACACTCCATCCACTATTGCTACCACATTGTTAACTTAATACTGAGATGATGCTCTCCAGGTTTCTACTTAGACATTCAATACTCACTCCTGCCTGGGGGACTGGATTTGGCCTGCCTACTTAGCAGACAGTTCTATCTATGATTACCAGTCCTCCAGGCAACAGGGAATTAGATAGAAAAAAAACTCATGCAAAGCTAAAAGCTTCCCACTGTCAGTGACTGATTTACCATTTTTAGCACCAATTCATACAGTGCACATTTGACAAGATTAGCTGTATTAAAGCCCATTAATCCAATAAAGAGCTTCCACCCACCTCTAGCCAGACGTATTGGGCAGCTGTAGGAATGGAGGGGATTTCAAACT